CAGGACAAAAAAAATCTCTCAAGCAACTGGCAGATTTAACACTTATTTGAGTGACAAGCTATGCAATGTTGCAGTCTTTCCCAACTAACACAAGACACATTGACAACAAACCCATAGCAAATTCAATAAAAAGCTTTGGAGAAGATAAATAACTTCTAATAAACGTGTATGATTATAAATTCATGACCTATATAAAACACTCAGGCAAAGCCACCAATATCTAGTTTCTTACACCAATAGCCATATTATGGCAAACACGTTTAAATGTTAAATAATTAAACATTTTTAACGATCAGCAATACAATTCTGATGTGTGAAAAGATTCAGAGAGCCAAGCGTCTGTTTTGATCGGCTAACCAGCTAGCCATTTTCAACTGTTAAAGCACAAAACCCCACATAAACTGTCACTAACACTGACTAACATTACACAGATTACAAAAGCAAAAATAACGAAAAACACTCACTGCATACTCACAATGTCGTGACATATGACAACACACACGGATAGCTTGAAAGCTGGCTAAGGAAATCTGTCTGTTAGCATTAGCCACCCTTCAGATGTGGCTAACAGGCTAGTAGCATTAGCCCTGCGCGAGCTCACACAAACAAAAACATGGTAAACACAAATGTCACCTCACACTTCTCACCAAACGCGTACATTTTGGAATAAGCCGTCTCATCTTGACGAGAAGCGGTTAAATTCTCGTGTCTGGGGGTGTAAAAGCTCGTTGTTCTCTTCAGACAGGCCCTCTGTGAAAACAAACTGTCATCCGCCTAACGGCACTCTGGCAGAGCTCGAGCTCAAAGCGGGAAGAGCTCAATCCGCAGCGGGTGCGCGTGCGTCGGACTCGGAGAGGCCGCGAGTCGACTCTTTCGAGCAGTTCGTTCTGAAGAATCGGTGAATAGCATCGGTTGTTCTTTTAAAGGGATAGTTCACCATGTGTGCGAATTATACATTTTGGTAATGTTAGTTTACATGATTCAGTGAATCAAATGTATGTTTTTATTTATTTTCAGTGTTTTGAATATTTAGTGTATTCTGACCTGATGAGCCATTTCGGCTTACTTTAGGACAAACTATACAAACAATGCATCTAATTTGACATTTCTTTTAGGCAATATGTACAAACAAACATCTATTCAATGGGAAAACATGCATTTCTTCAGGTTTTGTGAACTCTTTGGTGTCTATCTCTGCTCTAAATCTGCCGATTTGAAACTGCTGATAACTTTTTTCTGCATAGACTGATTGGTGCAATTATGCATTCACAGTTTCTACTATCGTGCCTAAAGTGTGAGCCAAGGCCAGTCGCGTTTCCACTGTCACTTCCAGGGCCTGATCGTGCGCAAGCGGGGCTTCCTTAGGGCCAGCGGCTGGGCTTTTTTCGGCCCGTCTAATACCTTGGGCCAAAGAGGGCCAGCTATGGCCTCGGAAGCGTCACGGTTTTTAAGGTGGACCGGATAGTGTCAATAAGAAGCTGCGAATAAGAAGCTGGATTCAGCCTCGTTATTCCATAAAATACCTTATAGGCTAGGGGTCTTTTTAGTGTGACACTTGATTTGGGTGACACACTGCGAGCTACTAGCCTGACAGTGGAAACGTGATCTGATTTCAGCCTCACTGCTCATGCTTCTGGGCAATTGGCATGCATGTCCCAGTCCGATAAAAGCCCTGGCTCGCACTGCCCGACAGTGGAAATGCGGCTAATGGTATGAACTGTTATAGAGGTGGTCAAAATTATGTCTATTATTTTAATTATTAACATTATTATTTAAAATACAGATCAGGGTGAATTTTTATCCTCAGTGTAATTCGCACCCTGAGTTCATCCTAAAGTAACAATTCTGTCACATTTTAAGCTTAAAGCGATAGTTCAAAAAAGAAAATTAAATTCTGTCAACTTTCTCAAACTCTTGTTCTTTCTTTTTTTTTTGACGAATCTTGGAAACTATAGCCATATTGACTTTCATAGTATATATATATATATATATATATATATATATATATATATATATATATATATATATATATATATATACTATGAATATGTCAGAATGTGCCAAGAGATATCTTTAGCTCTCCACTCTACCTCACTAATACCCCTTTCACACAGTGATACCGGTAGATATCTGGAACATTTCCGAAACTACTTTACTGGTATATTCAAAAAAGCGCTGTTCACACAGGCGAGGACGTTACGGAATTTTTCCAGAAAAGACCTTTCACACATCCATTCCAAAATACCGGTAAATTCTGACATCATTAACCAGAAATGAGCTTTAAACGGCTGGGCTTGTATTTGTAAATATTTGACTACATTACAAACTGTGTGGACGGATCAGTATTTTAAACAACTCCGATAAAAACATATAGAGAAACACTTTCGCATGTCGAGATGTTCATAATATGTGTGTGTGCTGGCGCTCACGGGCTCACGTGTCTGGGAAAATATTCAAAGGCTTTTATTCTCATAAACCGCGCGGACGTAAATGCGACTGACTGTTCTGATTGGCTAAAGCAGACGTCAAACGTCAGCACGTTCTAGACGTGCACGCGCTCTTTCCGGCAATCTACCTTCTGCATTCACACAACGCAGCATTCCGGCAAATTACCAGTAATGTTACAACTTCTCTTTCTGGAAAATAGTCATAACGAATTTACCGGTATTTTCAAAAAAGACCTGTTCACACATGCAGACCTTTCCGGAAAATTACTGGCAATTTTCCGGAAAGGTCTGTATGTGTAAAAGGGGCTTTATCTACCTGCAAAACATTTACCTGAATTTTTGCAAGTGTACCATCAGGTAATAAGCCAATCAATAAATACATTTAAATAAAAAATAATAAATAAAGTCAAAGGGTCAGATCCAATCAGTCAAAGTCCCTTTTTTGTATTCCATATAGTCTTCAAATGAGTTCAAAATAAAGTGCAGTTTGATTTGTGATCAAATTGTTTAGGCCAATTGGTAAACAATTTAAATAAGGACTTTGTGACTGCTAGATCTCTGTTATAAATACAAATCAATCGAATAGCCTATGAGCCGGTCTCATCCTTCAAGTTTCTGGGGACCCACATCTCAAAGGACTTTTCCTGGACCACCAACACCTCCAGCCTGGTCAAGAAGGCTCACCAGCGCCTATTCTTTTTAAGGCAACTTCAGAAGAACCAGCTTTCATCAGCCGTCTTGGTGAACTTCTACCGCTGCACAATAGAGAGCATCCTGACCAACTGCGTCACAGTCTGGTATGGAAGCTGCTCTATTGCTGAGCGTTAGGCACTGCAGCGGGTAGTAAAAACTGCCCAACGCATCACAGGGACCACACTGCCAGCCATAGAGGACATCCAGAAGAAACACTGTCTGCGCAGAGCACGCAGTATTCTTAAGGACACTACTGCCTTCCGACAGGCGCTTTAGGTTCCCCCGGACAAAAACCAGCAGACTGAGGAATAGCTTTTTCCCCAGAGCTGTCTCCCTCTTGAACTCTGCCCCTCACTGACTCTTTTGCCCCCAATACACCCTCACTCTCCTCTAACTTATACTCCTCACTATCACTGCACTGTTTAACATTTGCACATATGAGATTTGCACATATTCATTGCACTACATTGCACTGGTTTACTTATTTGGACTGTATATACCCTCAGCACATGGACATTTGTAATTATGTACACACCTACTGTACATGTACATTTGCAACTATGCTTATCTATCTGGACACTTCTGATTATTAATAGCAATCTGTACATATATTTATTGTAAATCTCTGTTCATAGCTAATACAACCTGTATAAAATGTTGATAGTACATCTATCTGTAAATATCACCATAGTTTTCCTATAATAGCACTTTATAACTTATACCTGTATCCTGCACTTGCTGCAAATGCACTGCTAGTTAGACCTAATCTGCATTTTGTTGCATTGTACTTGTACATGTGTAATGACAATAAAGTTGAATCTAATCTAATCTAATCTAATCTAAAAGATTTGTGTGGTGATCCCAATGTACCATATTTGCCATTATCAAGTGTCCTGACAGCCAGCATCAGCTCATATCCTTTCCCCTGGCCTTAGCAAAGTGTCAATCAGATGTGCATTTCAAAATCTTGTCAGAAAAGTAAATAAGTAATTGATCTTTAATAAGGTTTGTGTATTAAGACATGCCTTTTTGTAAATAGATGGACTACATAGTTCATTCATTCATTTTTCTTCTGCTTAGTCCATTTATTTATTAGGGGTCACCACAGCAAAATTAACCGACAACTTATCCAGTACAGATTTTACACAGCTAATGCCCTTCCAGTTAGACTACATAGTTATAGTATTTAAGTATGGAATTTCAGTGCAATTCTCTGTATACAGTTTAATCGAATCACTGAAAAGATCCGAGTCAACAGAACAATTCGTTCACGAATCGCTAGAGTGTGCGTGAGCGCGCAGCAGCAGTCGTGCTCTGTCTGATGAACTGACACTGATAAAGGTATATTTCCTTGCCTTTTATTTCTCAACCAAGTCTCTCTTTCTTCACGCTACATTCACCTCAACTTCATTTGTATTTTGTTAAATATGCATGTGTGTAATCTAATACGCTTTCGCAGTGTCGTAAACGTTAACTATCACGCCAATAAAGCTTTGTTGACTCTGACTCTATGACCATTTTGGGACAAATCACTCTTTTGTTTACTGTCGCATTCCGCGCGCATACTTGGCTTCCGCGGCACCTTTCTCCTCATTCCCCCGCACATACACGCACAATCCCTCCTCTTTCTTTTCTCAAGCCTACGGAATACGTAAAAAATAGAAAACACATTCAACACACACATAAAGCAGCGGCCATTCCGGGACTGAACAAAAGAGTGCTTTCAGAGGCACCGGACACGGACAGCGGTGCGTCGAGCGCGCGTCGACCGCCCACCGCGGAGTCTCCCCGGGCCGAACACAAACCCCGCGCCGCAGAAGGTGCGACTGTGAGCCGCGGAGAGCCGTGAAAATGCTTTACCTTCAGAGGTGTGACTCCGCCATCCCTGTTTCCTCCTCCTTTCCAGCAGTGCTGCAGCGCGCTCTCCTTCCCCGACGCGCGTCACACGCACGCAGTACCGACGCGTCACGAGACTTCTGGAGCTCCGCTTTATTTGTGTTTGCGAAATATCGGACGCAATAAAATGCCATGGGAGTCCTCAGTGGAGAGAGAGAGAGAAAAGAAATGGACGAATTGCCACGAAACAGAATAACCCAAATATTTATTTTCTGTCGCTAAAAGTGCAACTGTTTAGAGATACGGAACGGAAGCTGCAAATAATGTCGTCAAAACAGTGCAACATATGCACACCATTATTAATTATAACAACTGTCCAGGAATGAGCTTTATTTTTTAAAGTAATTGAATATGATATTTATGATTAAATAATTTATTTAAATATAATAATCCAAAGCTACAATATAATAATATAATTGTAATTATAATTTAATAATGATGATAATAGTAATAATAATAATAATGATGATGATGATGATGATGATGATGATAATAATAATAATAATAATTTCTTATGTAGCGCACTCTAGACACTCAAAAATCTTTACGCAATGGGGATAATATAATAGTAATTACTTTATAATATAATAATAATTATATTAGGCTATATTATTTGATGCAGTCTACACTGGCAGCAAATAATTTCAAACGCAAATTAAACAAATACGTCAAACACAATTTTATTTAGCTGTAAGAATTATATAGTAATAAATACTTTAAGAAAGAGTTTATTTTTATTGTTCGTTTGTTCGTTCATTCAATGATTAGATTACAATCATTAATAATAAGTATAATTATAATATGTATTTTTAATCTAGAGATTGTTTATTCAGTCAGACATGTATGTATATATATATATTAGGGATGTAACGGTATCAGAATTTCACGGTACGGTAATACCTCGGTATGAATGTCACGGTACGGTATTTATTGAATCATTTACAGGAAAAAACAAAACTTATGAAAATACTCCAAAAAAGTGCCAAAAGTGTCAATGACATACAAATTAGTCATCTATCTGTAAGCTTTGAAACAGGAACTTCAATTTTAATAACAAAAAAATATTAAACCATGTATAAAAATTAAGTTTCAATTTAGTATTGTTGAAAACTCATCACATTCAACATTTAATCACTCACTCACTCACTCACTTAGATAGAGATGGGTTTAAAGGAAAATTATCATATAACTATAATCTGGTAAAAGCTGGTATCTCTGGGTATTTACAATGTCCCCTGCAACAGAAAAAAACCCTCTCATTTGGGACTGAGGATTCTGGGACAGAGATATGACTTGGCCCATGTTGACAGCAGTGGGTAACGTTGTGCATTGTCTTTCCCCCACTTGAGAAGACAAACCATGAGTGAGATAGAGGTCTCTTTGCGGTACAAGTCAATGTCTGCATCAATCTGAACAGTGTGCTGTGTTTCTGCAGTCCCCATGAATGTTATTAGACGTATTCCCCAACTTGCAGGCACGTGCACACATAGGGCTCAACCTGTGCAGTGCAGTGCACATGCCCTTTTTAGTATTGGATAGAAAATGCCCTTCCAAATCGATCAAAAGTGCCCCCGCGACGCGACACAACCTCCGTCCAGCCCTTCAGTAGACAACACCGCTCTTGAGTATGCGCGCTCAACCCCCCCCTCGGCGCTTTACAATACGCGCGAGACAACACAGCTGATCAGAACGCGCGCGACAACACTGCTATTCAGTACGCGCGCGACAACACTGCTATTCAGCACGCGCGCGACAACACTGCTATTCAGCACGCGCGCGGCGACAACACCCGCTTTGGGTTCGATCATTTCCATCTTTTTTTCATCTCCGCTACTAGCAGCACACTCCATTTCCGCATTACTGGATCTGTAGCGACAACAGACCGCAAAGGATTATGGCCACGCCTGGGCTGATGGGAAATGTAGTATAAGCTACTTTCCGTTCGCTTCATTCGCCTGAGCACATTTTCTCAGAAGACCTATAGTTTTACCGAGTCATGCGACTTCGGTAATATCGAAAAAAATTAATATTGCGGTATGACGGTATTTACAATACCGTTACATCCCTAATATATATATATATATATATATATATATATATATATATATATATATATATATATATATATATATATATACATATATACATATATACATATACAGGGTGATTCAAAAAGAATACCACAATTTTGAAAATCATTATTTAATCAAAGAAACATGATGGAACCTTGGGTAAATAAATAATCAATGTGAAATGTAAATATCACCGTTTTTAAAAACTTAACTCTCCTTTTCATTTTTGCAGAGAATCATTAGCCCCCCTGAATTATTCGCCCTTCTGTTTATTTTTTGCCCAATTTCTGTTTAACAGAGGATTTTTTAGCACATTTCTAAACATAATAGTTTTAATAACTCATCTCTAATAACTGATTTATTTTATTTCTGCCATGATGACAGTTAATAATATTTGACATTTGACTAGACATTTAACACTTCTATTCAGCTTAAAGCACATTTAAAGGCTAAACTAGGTTAATTAGGTTAACTAGGCAGGTTAGGGTAATTGGTATATATATATATATATATATATATATATATATATATATATATATATACACACACATTTTTTATATATATACATACATTTTTTATATATATATATAAAAATGCTCTTATTCTAGCCAAAATAAATAAAACAAATAAGACTTTCTCCAGGAGAAAAAAATATTATCAGACACACTGTGAAAATTTTCTTGCTGTTACACATAATTTGGGAAATATTTAAAAAATAAAAAAAATAAAGGGGGGGGGGGTGTTAATAATTTTGGCTTCAACTGTGTGTATGTGTGTGTGTTTGTGTGTGTGTATACGGGACATTCTACTAGAAACATACATTTTCACTCATAAAAAATGTGACAAGGCCTGATTTAAGCTTACCATCCTCAAAAAAAACATACAAAAAAGCATAAAATCATACAACTCATGACAGAATGCATCCTTGATGATCATTAACAGCCTCTACTCCAACAAATGATTTCACTTCCAAGTCATGGCCTTAAAGGTGTATTGTACACACTTTGTGTTAAATTTAATGCTAATGTGACAGGACTAACAGAAACATTGGGACATATTTATTTGTATCATATAACCATAGTATTTTTTTTTAGAATTTATTCATAATTTCGTGTTTTTAACACGAAACTTGCTATTTTAGAAGTGTTTTCTCTAAACAAGAAATTATCTTAATAATTTTTAGCATTACAAATTTGGCTGAGAACTAGGGCAATGACAGAGTTTGTTCATTAGCGAAAATTTTTAATGAAGAACAGAAATTTGAGAACCAAATGAATTACATATTTCTTTACAGAACAACTCACAGAAATCAACCATCAGTCAATTTTAGACATTTTTGGGATGAAATACTTTCCATTAACTGTATTTCTTATTTCAGATACAGATAATTAACATTTCTGGTAGAATATACCATATACCCTTGTTCATTTTCCCTCCCAATTTCTGTTTAAAAGATTTTTTTCACCACATTTCTAAACATAATAGTTTTAATAGCTCATCTCTAATCACTGATTTATTTTCTCTTTGCCATGATGACAGTAAATATTATTTGACTAGATATTTTCCAAGACACTTCTATACAGCTTAAAGTGACATTTAAAGGCTTAACTAGGTTAATTAGGTTAACTAGGCAGGTTAGGGTACTTAGAAAAGTTATTGTATAATGATGGTTTGTTCTGTAGACAGTCGAAAAAATAAATGCTCGAAGAGGCTAATAATTTTGACCCTAAAATAGGTTTAAAAAGTTAAAAACTGTTTTTATTCTAGTCGAAATAAAACAATTAAGACTTTCTCCAGAAGAAAAAATACAGAGATTTTTTTATATTATGAATATTGTGAAAATGTCCTTGCTCCGTTAAAAATAATTTGGAAAATATTTTAAAAAAGAGAAAAAAATTAAAGGAGGGCTAATAATTCTGACTTCAACTGTATATTGTATTGTATGCTATTTATTTATTTATTTATTTATTCATTCTATGACACCACTACACCACCAGCATGAACCGTTGATACAAGGCAGGATGGATCCATGCTTTCATATTGTTGACGCCATAGTATCTGCAGCCTTTATAATGCAAGCTGAGATTGCATCACTCAACGATGCAATGTCAGACACAATGCACTCAATAGAGTAAATGACGTCACTACGACGGGTAAGATTAGGGGTGGGTTAGGTGAGCGCATTAAAGAGCATTAGACGCCGCTCAGATTGCTCTGCACCAGGTCTGCATCCAGACACCTCTCAATTCTGACCTTTCCATTCTATATGGGTTTTTGTTTGTGTGTGATAGCCCGTCAATGTCGCTAGGCGGCGGCAGCGACCCGTTGTTTTGCGGAACCGGAAGTACGTAAAACAGCTGATGAGATAAACGGTAAATCCGTCAACCGAAGTATAGTAGACGCTTGTGTTTATTTACAGCTTATTATCAACACACAGAGATATAATTGTGGTTTATCACAGGTAACATTCTTCCTTCTACCGCTTTTTGTTACTCGCTACGATAATAGAAAATAGCTGGTGCTGCAAAACGTTTTACATTTGTGTTTTACCTCGGAATTAACATAAGAGTTTGATTAGCGTTTAAGACGTTTTTATACATCTTTATGTGATAATGTTGACTAAGTAGGTTTCATTGCACTGGGTATATATATATATATATATATATATATATATATATATATATATATATATATATATATATATATATATATATATATATATATATATATATATATATATATATATATATATATATATATATATATATATATATATATATATATATATATATATATATATAACACACACACACACGCACACACACCACACACACGCAAAAAGCTTTAAATGACAACATGAAACAAATTATGAAACAAATATCAACACATACTCAAATAAATAAACATATATGAGTATGTGTTTATATTTGTTTCATAACGTTGTTGTTGTAATTTAAAGCTTTTTCTTTAGATTCAACAGAATAAATATAATAGTAGTAAAAGTTGTTACTTTTTGCTTTTAAAAAAAATCAGCTTTTCCACCAAAATGTCTTTTTTTAACTCTTCTGAAGTTAAAACATTGGTATTGTGGGGGGATGAATAAAATTCAAGTGGTCTCGTTTCCAAATGTGTGTGGGAGAATTTACATTTACTCGGATATCAATGAAATCATTTATATTAATGCATATAATGATGATCTTTTGCTCTCCATTAACAGGTGTCTTACTGAAGCACAATGCCGGAGGTGAAGTCAATGTTTCGAGAAGTTCTGCCTAAACAAGGTTTTTTTTTTTGTTTTTTTTTAAATGTAGTTTTACCATTACTGCTGTTTTGTTTTGCCAGCAAACTTGTAGTCGAGGATAATATTCTGCCACACTTGCCAGTGACTGGTAACTTGAGAAAATAATCTGTTTTAAATAATAAAAAAAACATAACTGTTGTTATATAATTTCAATTAAACTATCAACAAAATCAATATGGAAATATCACAGTAATACTTATAGTTTTTTTTTTTGGTTTACTTATATTTTAGTTTGCACTGATGTTGCGTTATAAAAGTAAAACAGATTGAATGTTCATAATGTGTTACATATAGCACGCTTGGGAACTTTGGCAGCGCTTTAGAGATTTGGGAGGGAATGTCCTCATTTTTTTATAGTTTCTTTTCTTTTAGATACAAAAGTTTAATAAACTATTTTAATTAGGAACTTGGGAAGATTTTGTGCGGCAAGTTTTTAAATGTATGTTAAAGTGACTTAAACGTACAGCTTTATCTGAGACACTGAACATTATTTTCATAAGGTGTAATTATAAAACAATATGACAATGGACAAAAGGGAATGATAATCACACTAAACAATACTTCCTTCTCAGGCATTTTAATAATACATTTTAACCAGTCAAGTAGCAAGAAACAGTAATGACAAAATTGAGAGACCACATGAAAATTTAGTTTTTCTGGATTTACTAGGTTTAGATTGAGATGAGATCAAATGTTGAGACAAAATGTTGTTATTTATTTTGTTTTTTGAAAAAATGTCAAATATATTTTGGTCATTTATTATATTAAAATTAATGTCATTTGTTAAAATTAAAATGCCTTTTTTTTCTCCAGAAAATGACAATTGGTCAGATTTATTCCTTAAATCTCATTATAAAACATTCTTATTACGTCTAAAATAAAAAAAATAAACATCACACCATTTTGTTATTCATTAATTTTCAGCTTTTTTAATCTGGGTATGCCACAGTGGAATGAACTGCGAACTTATCCAGCATAAGTTTTTTGCAGCGGATGCCCTTCTAGCTGCAACCCATCACTGGGAAACCTCCATACACACTCATTTACACCCATACACTACAAACAATTTTAGCTGACCCAATTCACCTGTACTGCATGTTTTTGGACTGTGAGGGAAACCGGAGCACCCAGAGGAAACCCACGCCAACTCGGGGATAACATGCAAACTTTTCAAAGGAACGCCAACTGACCTAGCCGGGGCTTGAACCAGCAACCTTCTTACTCTGAGGCGATCGTGCAAAATAAATGCTCCATTTGACACTTTTAGTTAAAATTCGAAAGGAAAATACATCAATGTTTACTGAATAAAACAAATTTTACTCAAAAATACAACTATAAAGCTCAAATCCAGAGAAACTGAGAATTTCGAGTGGACTCTTAAAGGGACAGTTCACCCAAAAATGAAAATGTAGTCACACCATGTATATTTACTCTCCCTTAAGTTGTTTAAAATCATTATTCTGTTAAAAAAAGATATATTTTGAAGAAAGCTGAAAACTGGTTACCATTAGCATCATCCTTAGTAGGTAAAACAAATACTATGTAAGTCAATGGTTACAGGTTTCCAACATTTTTCAAAATATCTTCTTTTGCGTTCAACAGAAGACAGGAACTCCCAAAGGATTGAATCAAGTAAACGTTGAGTAAATGATGGCAGATTTTTCATTTTTGGTTGAACTATCCCTTTAAAATCTCTTTAATATTGGGACTTGAGGAGCTGCACATCAATGGTTTTGCTCTTCAGTATTTGGACTTTCAGCAGTGAAATTTAAACCACACTGAACTGAACTAAACGGAACTTGGACTCTGAAAAAACAATTTAAAAACAATTTCAATTTTCTAGAACTTCTATGTTAAGATGCTTTGACACAATCTACATTGTAAAAGCGCTAAAGAAATAAAGATGAATTGAATTGAAAATCAAAGAATAACACCAAAAACCCCACTAAGAATAACACCAAAAGTCCAGCTGTATAGTAGCAAACACACACAAAGACACACACTTATTACATGTATTGTTTGGTCGCGCAGGTCAGCTTTCCATGGAGGATGTTCCCACTATGGTCCTGTGCAAACCTAAACTGCTGCCTCTGAAGTCTGTGACTCTGGAGAAGCTGGAGAAGATGCAGAAAGACGCTCAGGAGATCATCAGACAACAGGAACTGGCTTTGAAGGAGCAGCCGCCGTCTGAGAAGGCAGAGTAGTGTTCACTTCTGAAGGATCAAGTACACGCTTCATTCACAACCACATACGCTGAATATAGTCAGTCAGAATTCAAGGGTTTGAGTTTGGTAGAATTCATATCTACGCGTGAGGTTAATTAATATTTGTGTGTTCAAATAAATATTAAAACAAGCTATTTTTTAGAAATGTTACAGATATCAGATAGCTAAAAGCAACTGAAGTGATTTCGAAAGTGGGCATTTGTTAAATAAAATGGTTATTAAAGTTAATCCATGAGATTGGGATTATGCACAGGGTTTATTCTTCAAGTTTTTTTAAAGACGTCCAACTTTGTAAATGTTGTATTTAAATAAATATTTTAAAAGTATATTTCTTTTTTCATTATTATTTTTAAATGTGTTTATCGAGGATTCATTTAATCAATCGGAAGCACTGGTAAAAATATTTATAATCTTATAAGACAATAAGTATATATTGCAAATAAATGCTGTTCTTTTAAACTTTGTATTTGTTAAATATAAAAAAAATTACTCATTTAATTATATTAGAAACGGAGCATTCATTCCGATTGAGGTTGAGACTTGTTTGAATCTACTCTGTAAAATCCATACTGACTTCTGCTTGGCAACTAATTACTTGTTAAGTGTAACGTCAGGCAAAGCAGCTTCCTGGTTTAAGCGTTCTATAAAACTGCACGGGGAGACTCAACGAATGGTAGTTATAAACGTTTACAATGCGCTGTAATACTTTCAAAAGTCACAATCTGTATGTATGTATGTGTATATATATATATATATATATATATATATATATATATGTATATATATATTTTATATATATATATATATATATATATATATATATATATATATATATATATATGCTGTCAAAATGAACGCGTTAACACATGCGATTAGTTTTTGACATATAACACGTTTAAAAAAATGAACGCAGTTGCATTATTTTAATATTTCCTGTTGTGGCCGACGTGTGTTTAACGTGCAAAGAAATATAGATAAGACCAAGGAAGCACTTTTAGAAGAAAAGTTTCAGTATAAAACAATTAATGTTGCATCTCCTGGGTTGTTGTTTTATTGGAATTTGATAGCGCATGCCGAATGGAAAAAAAAAAAAAACCTCCTGCATTTCTTGACTCGGGTGGTCCTTCAGGGTAATATATGGTAGACTTCTTAATCAGAGTATTATCTCGACAATATTATTAGCAGAGTGTTGGTGTCAAATGTACTCAGTAAAAATGCTAAATGATGTTGCGAGCTGTCAAAGACAGTGCATTCCTCTGCCTTTAAGTTGACTCCACGAGCCCTCTAATGTTTCATCCAGTTTGAAGTGTTTCCCCCTTAAACGCAACTTTTGTAAAGCGTCTGCTTCACGTTGTTGTGTCAGAATTCTTGTGAAATATAGCCATACTTTAGAACAGGGCTTCTCAACCTTTTACACCGCAGGGCCCACTTCTTTCTCCGATCAACTTTTGAAGGCCCACCTGTCTGACATTAGCTTTAAAACGTTTGTATGAAATGCTTATTTTAACCTTTATTATATGACCTTTTATATTATATTATATAATAATATGTTATATTTTATTATATTTCATTATATTATATTATGTTTTAATATATTTTATTATCATTCATTCATTCATTTTGAAACCCACGCGAACACAGGGAGAACAGGCAAACTCCACACTGAGAACCGCCAACTGAGCTGAGGCTCAAACCAGTGGCCCAGCGACCTTCTTGCTGTGAGGCGACAGCACTACCTACTGCGCCACTGCGTCACCCCTATATTTTATTATATTTTATTTTGTTATATTATATTTTATAATATATTTTATTATAATATATTTTATTATATCATATTACATTATATTATATCTTATTATATTATTATAACATATATATAATAAATTTGTTGTGCCTTCTATTATTTTCTATTAGCATTTCATAAACAAATATATAATTTTATTCACATTTAATTATATATAAAACTATACTATCTATAATTGTGTTTATTTTTTATTTCAAACTGATTCTAAGAGAACCACAGATGGATCTGGAACGATAGGGACATTGCAAAAGAGCAACTACTGCTTTAAACTGATCTGACATAGTATCTACTATGAAATATCTACTATTGAAAAATATACACACAAGTGTAAAATACAGTAAAACACCCTAAATCTGTTGAAGAACGTCGATCTGATGGCGGTTGAGTTTGCAGCTGGATATTATTGAGAGATCGCTATTAGAAACAGTGAACATCTCCGCCAGAGCGCATCTGAAGCTATGCAAGTTTATTTTACAATCTATGGCAGAAACACCACTTTTTGTGGTGAAACTTTGACGTCACTTTGTAGGCTATTCGGCTGCTAGCATAAAACTGGTTACCTCGTAAAAATTCCTATGGGATTTTCCTATAGGCTTTTCGAAGATTGTAAATAATAAGCTCTGTGTTCAAACACTGTTCATTACTATTGCACGTTTTTGTCCAGCCGGATAATCTTCATACGAAACTACAGTGGACTACAGTGCCCTCAGGGCACTCATCTGTGATGTCAGCACCACCCTGCTACAGACAACTTCATTCATTTTCTTGTCGGCTTAGTCCCTTTATTAATCAGGGGTCGCCACAGCGGAATGAACCGCCAACTTATCCAGCAAGTTTTTACGCAGCGGATGCCCTTCCAACCGCAACCCATCTCTGGAAAACATCCACACATACATTCACACACACTCATATGAAGCTTATGTTTGGAAATTGTGTCCATGACAAAGAATTAATCTCTCTGTTTGTTATATTATAATTCAATGTACATAATATAAACAAATAAATACGCAAAAACACATATACCCATGTGCCTTTTGGATCGTTTTTACATGGAAAATACATCTGTTTTGCTTTACGGTTGTTGTAAAAGTTTTAAAACTGTGTGTATAAATCTGCTTACATAGTATTATCATCAGACATATTTAAATAAGTGTATCGCTCGCGTGCACACAGCCTGCTGTGTTTATGTATTTATGTAAATCGCGTGCACACCACCACCAACGACAGAAATGAGGCGTAAGGGACGAGTCTATTAAATGCCTGCAAGTTCCATCATGGACACAAAACAACATTCAATATTCCTTTTTTTCACAAAGTACAGTGAAAAGCAGCCCTTACATCCACATATGCTATACATTTTATGGAGGAGTGTAAATATTGCAGTTATGACAGAGTTAAATGTGTTCAGATCAAGAAAAAAAGATGAAAAATCACTTGATCATGTTAAAATGACAGTTAACATACATGTATTTTATGTATATTACCTTGTATATTACACATTTATTCACACGTTTGCATCATAGATATATACACTAGATATCGCATAGGGACCCTAAATATGCGACAATAGCGCCGCCACATTGGTACAGTTCTCCCAGGACAAATGTCATTCAACCGCAGTAGTCAAGACAGTGTTATTACGTGAAGATGTGGGACTTTAGCGCTGTCTATGGGTGTAGTAACGAGCAAACAAAGAAAACAGCACAAAAGCAGAACATTTCATTGGTAATATAAAGTTTCTTTCTGTTTTTGTATGTTCTGAACTTTTGTGCTAATCAGGTAACGTTATTGATGATAACAGTCACTTACTGTATTCACCATACGGCAAAGCAGCTCTAACTTGCACTAAACACTCGGCTTATGCTAGTTTTGTTGAATAAAATCAGCAAACGATGCAAAAGAAATATGACAACGAGATGCTGCGCTGCCAGAACCTAGTATTATTGTCGGCTAGTGAAAGAGTCGTTCGGGGGATTCATTCACAAACGAATCGCTCCCTCCGTCAGTATGAGAAGTGAAAGCAGGAGAGGAGGTGTGTTTCAGGACATGATTAGATTAAATTTAACAGGGAGGGTGGATAATACATTTCTGTACACACAAACACAAGCTTTTTGTCAGGAATGCCCATGTGGTCACTGCTCCATCAATGTAGAAAAGTGATGTAAAATTATAATTTTCGTAATTAAAAAAAAAAATTACATACATCCAGGAAAACTCTGGATCATAGATATATGTGTATATCTCTGGCTTTGGATGGCCTCAGTCCTCCACTGTACCTTGGTCCCGCATTCATTTCAAAGGAGCGCTACCCTGTAGCAAGATGGTGGCACTATTGACGCATTTCGTCCAATAGACAACAATAGGCCAGGCGACATCTAATGTATATATCTATGTGTTTGCATTACTGAGAGCAGGACAGAGACAGGCTGCACTAGTAAGCAGTATCTTCATAATATTCTTTATTAAAATAAATGATAAAAAAATGAATCTGTCTCGACAGTCTCTACAAGTGAAGGATTTATCTACTCACAATCTGATTTCCCAATTAGTATAATACTGCAAACTATAAAATACTATTCATGAAAATACCCAAATAACAGACAAATCCAAATGCCCAACGCAAGCGAGCTGCGCTCCAGACCAGATCAGCTCAATGAAGTATAATGTCTCCAACACTGCCTGTAGTCCCATTTAGCAACTTGATAGCAACCGTCCTTTTAAAGAAGCATAACCGTTTTAAAAATTCAAGAGTGTGATGAAACTAAAGTGTTTTATGTCGTAGAACAAAACGTGAAAGTATCTTGGGTTTGTGTTAGCCACAAACCTTATTTAAGCGATTTTACTGAAACCCCATTGAAAAAAACCCATTGACCTTGGGACGAGGGACCCGGAACTGCTAAAATGCTAACCCGCTTCCGGGTTTTTGCATACAAATTGACGTCATAGTTCCTCCACTTTATTGAGGCTCGCTATTTTCGCCGTCTTTTCGTCTTAAACGGCGTTTTGGGGATGACACGCGCTTGGTAACAGGCGCAGTGTGACCCATTTGGCCTTTCATACGCAAGATCCTCCTGTATGGGCGCGCATCTGTAATAAAACACTCACAGCACATTCATTTGAACAACTATGCAGATATATTCAATAGTTCACACAAAAATACACAGAGAGACTTTCACTTTCACCTCATGCATGGTTTGTGATTGAACAGGCATGCGTGTACTAGTTGCAGACACCATCATGAGGCTGTTTTTGCGCCAAATTTGAAGTAATCAACCAGAGAACAGGAGAAAGTGCATTACCTCAATTTTAATATAGTATATTATTATGAAATGCAGAAATCAGAGTGTCAATTTTAATCTTTCAGCTCACCTACAGGATCGCTGATGCCCACTAGTGGGCCGTGGCACATCAGTTGAAAATCCCTGCTTTAAAATGCTTAGTTTAAGCAAATTTGATGAACACGGTCGTACGTGTTGATGAATCTTTAGGCAGTCGCTCACCAAGTGTGCTGTACTGCACATATT